CTGGGGCCCTGTGTGGTGCATGGTGGGGGCTCGGGCGCTGAGGCCCTGTGTGGTGCATGGTGGGGGCTCGGGCGCTGAGGCCCTGCACGGTGCCTGGTGGGCATGAGGACTGTGCTCTCTGGAGATGGGCATGCTGTGGTCCAGCAAAGGTTGTGCCTCCTCTGTCCATGGTGGCACACTGTCCTGGTTGCGGCCACTCTGCTCAGACTTGCTGATGTTGCACACTGCTTGTGTGTGTGTGTGTGTGTGTGTGTGTGTGTGTGTGTGTCTTAGAGGTGGGGGGCGGAGGCTCTGGTATCAGAGATGAGGGTGGAGAGAATTTACAGTTCATATTTCTGGGTCCGCAACCCACCCTGCCCTCTTGCCGCCTGTGTTCAACTGCAGAGGCTGCAGGCACAAAGGCACGGAGTCCAAGCTACCCGCTCCCTTTCTCCCGGGGTGTGGCCCCTCCCGCACCCAGGATTTGTCTCTGCTGCTACCCCACATGCCTTCCAGCAGCTTCCAGCAGCTCCTGTGCAGACCCTGCTGTGTGCTGTGGGGGCGTGTGTGTGCTGCCATGTGGCCTTCATCGCAGGCAGCAGACCAGCAATCACCGTCCACTTTTAGAATTGCCTGGTGCCCCGACTGCACGTCCTTTGAATCATACTGGGAAGCAGCGCATGCTTCATCTGCTACAAAGGTCACATTGTTCCGTGCTGAAGAGAAAGGGAAGGACAGAGAAGGGGGCGGGGTGGGGGAGGAGGACTTGAGAGAGAGAGAGGACACCTGGGGCACCGATTCTATTTCCAGATTCTTGCTGTCAGGCACAGTGGCCTGTCCTTCCACATAAGCCATCTCCCTCCATCCTCCATTTCTTCTGCCCCTGAAGAGTCTGGGCCACTCTCCTGAATCAGCCTCTCCATCTCAAAGCCACACTCAGGCCCCACGACCCCATGACCCCTGCTCACAGCTGCTCATCAGGAGATAGTCACATATCTCCCAGACACCCACTCACCCACAAGCACCACGTGGAGCTCCCAGCCCAAGCAGAAAAGAGGACTGCTCTGTGGCTCAGCCCCACAGGCCCCGGCATCGGGACCCGGTCTGCCTGCCAGCGGTGCCATTGCACAGAGTATAGCACATGAGAGGAGACAGATTTCCCCAGGGTCCCACCGGCAGGGCAGTTCCGTGCTCTGGGCCTGGGCTAGGGCCACACTGAACTTTTGGGGTTCAGAGGCAGTGGGATGGGGGGCATTTGGAGTTATGCATGGGCCTGGGCTCCAGGAGACTGGGGGTGCAGAGAACAGAGAAACCCACTTTCCAGGCATGTGCTGGGAGCCTGGCTGCCTCTCACCCTGTGGCTCCTCCGTGTGACACTTGTGCCTGGACACGGGGGTAGATGTAGTATTAAGTTAAATTTGGAGGGGTTCAGTAATGCACAATTGTACGGTTGAGATATATATATATATATATTATATTAAAGTCATCGAGAGCATGAGAGATATTACAATAATGTAGTCAGACACATTACATGGTAGCATTGCTCACCTCAGCGCCGCTTGATAGTCCTCGTGGGGGGAACCCGGACACAAGAGCAGGAGCAGCCTTGGGGACCGAGAACCGGGGAGCCTCTGACCCCGAGGACCGGGGAGAGCTCCCCGGGCTCCGGAGAGATACTCTTCTTTATTGCTAACCCAGCATTATATCTCTTTAGGGGGACATGATTACAGAATCACACGTTACAGGAAGGGGCAGTACAATAGGCATACACATTGTAGGAAGGGGATCTATGATAGGTAACAGGAAGGGATGAGCTTGGGGTGTGCCTATAGGAATGGGAAGGTCTAGGGGTATACATGTGACAAGATGGGCGGACCCTAGATTCATAATGGCAGTCTAATCTTGTTCATCCTTGGGTGGGTTTGACCTCTCGGGTGTCTCCTACAAGGAAACAGACAACTACTATCCTTATCAGAAGGGAGTGGGCCCTACTTGTTGTGGGATAAACAGTGGTGTCTGCTTGGTCTAGACAGCTGATAACTCTCGGGGAGAATGACCCCCAATCCACTCCTGATGACTTCCAAGTGTACAGTCATTCTCAAGCAGCTAAGTCTGGTATATATTTGGGGGAGACAGCTTGAGAGAAATCCTTCTGTTTCCCACAGGTAGAGAGGGTGGGGGCGCTGTGGCACCCTTGCCCCAGGGGCTCAGTGTCCACTTCTGAGCTGGCCACAGACATTCGCTGGCCCTGGATAGGCTGCACAGTCACAGGGGGCTGTCATGTGGAGCAGGGTGACATCGTCAGTGCCATGAGTCCTGGCGCCAGGTAGACAGCAGAGGGGCAGTTTCTCCCCAGAGTAGGCAGGGGTCACCACAAAGGAGCAGACTCAGAGCCAAATGTGCCCCTTGGACCAACCGTTCTTGGGTCGGGTGCCACAGTGGTCAGAGAGCCAGACTGCCAATGTCCAGACGGTGACAGCAGCCAGGAAAAGTCTGATGGCAGCTCTGCCCGCCAGCCATCCCAAGCCCAGGTTGGCACCTCGGGAGGAGGGCAGCAGATTGAGGTCCCTGGGTCCATGGGGATGTCTGAGTGGAAAGCGAGGCTGGTGCATGCCCAGCCAGGTGGCCACCTACCTGCTGACACCAGCGTCGTGCCCTGAGGAGCCCTGGTGGTGCAGGGGTTAAAGCACACGACTGTGAGGTTGGGGCAGGTCTGCTATGAGCTGAGTTAGCGTGACCCCAGTGGCCCTTCCTCCGTGGGGAACAGGACACTGGATGTCCTGAGGTCCCTGGTTGAGTCTGACCAACCTCTGTGCCCACATCTCCCTTGGGAAAAACACGGGTCTGCGGGGCCTGTCAGGAGCCCCCTGCCTACAGACCGAGTCATGACCCTCTCTTGGTCACCAGCCTACCCATTATCCTTGTGGACGCCTGGCCCAGCCTTGTCCACCCAGGCCCCATCTCTGGAGTACCAGGCCCTGGGCCCACCCCACACCCTGCCCCCACCCAGACCCCATCCCTACCCACCACCCCTTCCCACCCAGGCCCCCCCTCCCCACCGCCTCCCCACGCCAGCTGGCCCTGTCTCCTCGCAGGCGAGCACGGTGTCCTGGCCCCAGCACGCACTGCTGTGTCTGTGGGACACCACCTGGCCCTGTTCCCATGGACAATAATGCAGAGGTGAGACAGAGCCATCTGTACCCCATCAAAGCTACATACCTGCTCCACTCCCCTTGAGTCGCCCCAGGGCTGAGCCCAGAAATGGCCAGTAAAACCCTGAGCCACAACCTCACCACATCCTGCGTCCCGACAGGGAGAGGACTCTGCAGCCGACGCTGGGCCATCACCACCACCCGGATGCCACGGGCTCCCCATCTGAGCCCCCGGGAGCCCATCCCGCCGAGCCTGACCCTGGCGATGGACAGATTCCATGCTGGACAGCCAGGTATGCTGCATCATAGCCCCTCCCAGGGAGGTCCAGACCTGCCAGTGCTCCCTGTGTGTGTGTGTGTGTTGAGGACTCCCCTGTGTGTGTTCAGGACACCCTCCTGTGTGTCCAGGACTACCCCCTGTGTGTCCAGGATTCCTCCCATGTGTCCAGGACTGACCCTGGGAAAGCGGTTTTCCCAGCGTATGACAACCCCAAGGTCAGGTGTCATCCCTGGAAGGACAGTGCCACCCCTGGCCACCTCCACTGATCTGGGCAGAGGACTATGACAGGGTGAGCAGCTTCAAGGACACGTCTGAAGACAGTAACCCCCAAACGAAACTCACCACACTGAGTCAACTCCAAGTCATGGTGACCGTGGAGGACAGGGCAGCGCTGCCCGAGCGAGGCTCTCATGCTTCACAGGAATAGAAAGCTTCATTTTCTCCAGGTGGTTTTGAACTGATGACCTTGAGGTGAATAGCCCACTACACTACCAGGGCTCCCCGTTAGTCAGGGGACCAGTAATGCTGCCCATGGTATCACAAGGAGGGCAATGATGGTATGTGGAGTCCCCGTGGCCTCAGGTGAGTCCACTGTGGACACAGCAAGCATCTAGGATGTCCTCCTGCCCGCCCTCCCTCCTCCCTCTCAAGCTAGGGGACTGGGAGCCACCATCTCCTTCCCTGGTTTCACAGTTTTGTGAGGGGCCCTCTGGCCCCAAAACTGCTGTGAGAGTCCCGCCCTAGAGGCCACTCCAGGGCTCTCCTCCCGGTAGTTGGGGCACACCCCCAACCCTGAGCTGTCTTTTGACAGAAATGGACCCTTTTTAATGAAGTCCTCCCTGCCGGGAGTTATCACAACACAACACAGAGGGGTGTGCCCAGCTCACAGGCACCCATGGGCCCCTAGGCTCCAACCCCACACGCGCTTACTCTGTGGACCTTCCAGCTCGTTCCAAAGGATCTGTCACTGCCACCTGCTGCGGCAACGCTTCCTCAGAGCTGTCACTGCCACCCATTACAGGTGCGTTTGGCTGTGTGTCTTTTGCTGCCCGTGCTATTTTTACGGTCATGGATTTTGTCAGGGTTTCTGGGGCTTTGTTCCTCCCGTGTGGTCAGTGACACTTGGGAAGCTGTGACTCACATTTTCTGAGAATGAGGGGCGGAAAAAGGTGAAGAAGCTGCTTACAATGTAACTGAGCACGTGGTTGTTTGCATTCACATCACCTAAAAATTCCACCGAAGCAACTGACCACCCTGCTTATCACATATTGTACAGCGGCGAAAACTGGTCCTAATCCTTACTAAGGGTTCTGCATGGTCTGGGACAGCAGGAGGCCCATGGGGTGTGACACCAGGCCTGGGGAAGAGGTCCTTGTGTGTGTGTTGCGGGGGTGGGGGATGGGGGGGGATACCATGAGTCACCACACAGGCCTGGGGACACAGGGACCAGAAAGGCTGCTCCAGGCGCACTCTCCATCAAGGACGAGGTGTTGGCAGGAGCATCATGGGGCAGACGTGCCTCCTCATTACAGGAGCTGGGCTGCCACCACTCCAGGCAAATGACAGACAGACTCGGAGGGCTGCTGACAGGGACGCTAATCAGAGTGGACGTCGGGCTGCATGGGACCCTGGGGACATGTCCAGCGCCCCTGTCAACAGCATGTGCAGCTTGGCTGGTAGACGGTTGGCCTGGAGTGTTGTTCCCAGCCTCAGGTTGTGTCCAGCCAAGGTCGCTGTCCCTGGGCGACAGGCCCCTCTTAGGGCAGATGCTCCTTGCTGGGCACTCTGCCCTGGAGTCCAGATGTTTCTGCAAACTCTATTCCAGAATGCGTCTCCACGGGCACCATACCTTGGGCATGTGCCCCTGTCAGCGGTGGTCCCCAGCCTGGCTGCACCCTCAGAACAGGCAGCAACGCCTGGCACCTCCCTGCTTGTCCCCTTACACAGGTGCCTGACCAAGGGGCCTCCTTCTGCAGGAGCCGGGCTGCGCTCTGCTCACGTCTCCAGGACACACTGACCCCTCAGGTTCACTGGTGGGGCCCGGTGTTTAAATCCCTGTGGGTATGTGAGTCTGTCGTTTGAGTGTGTGTATGTGGGGGTGGGGGGTGGGTGAGTGAGTGTGTGTGTAAGTGTGGGTGTGTGAAGGCAGTGTATGT